ACACACTCTCACACACATATACACACAAACACACACACAAACACACACATGCACGTGCGCACACACAGACAGACTTACGCATCTTTGTTTTAATGAACGTAAATCGAAAGGTTGCTGCAGTCAAATTCGAAACACTCACAACCTTTTCTTGCTCCATCGTCTTCTGCTCTGGGACAAATTAGATGCCTAAAAACGAAGAACGATCTTGCAAACAGCTAATAAATAACAAGCTGACATTTACCATATCTCAGTCTTTTAAAAAATTGATTAAAAAAACTTTCTCTCTCTGCTTGTCTAAAATGTCTGTCTTTCTGCTTTTTCCCCTTCTCTTTGCTAACTGACATAATTATTTTCTTTTTAAACTATGTTTCTCTAAAAGCTAGCCAGACTATTTTTTTTACCATGAATCCTAATGGCTGCAATATAAATTTGCTCCTTAAATCCGGCAGCTATTATGCTTTAGTCATGGTGAAACTACCAGGCAGTGAAACAACATGTACCTTTTTTAAAAACGCTTTTCAATTTATCCAGCATGTTCCTAGCTGTCAGACTGTCAGGCAATTAGGCTATTCTAGAAAAACGGCAGCAAGATGATTGAAAAAGACAGCCCAAAACCAAAACCAAAAGCCACAACAACATTTAAAAATCTCCAAAATGGTTCACTGCTTCATACATTGCATACAAATGTAGTAGGCCTGTTGTTACTTTATTTGCATTTTCTGCTTGCTATAGTTTGATGTCTATACACTAGTCAAAATATCGGCCTCTCTGTGTAGCTGTTTGGGGATTGTGAGTTGGAAGAACTTTTAATTGCGTATCTCTGCGTTTGTGATAGGGCTTTGTAGCCATCCCGGCCCAGGTTGGCCATGACAATCAAGGTCGAAGCCTGCCCCCTCTGCTGTTATGATCTAAATTGTGTCGATGGAAGGGTAAAACACCTGCATTTAAACTATTTTTCTTGCCATAAGTTCTAGTCTATCCAGAACTTCGGTTAGATCTACATTGTAAGGCATCTGTGATGAAATGGTGAAGCTCTTCCCTGTTGTGCGCAGACGGAATGAGTTCCAGCCCTGCGTAAGAAAGTTACTTTATCGAGTATCACCTTCTTTCTCGTGGGAGAGCTGTTTCCATTCAACTCGGGGTACCCTGGCAGGCACGGTCGATTCAGCTCTCCTTCATTGTAGGTGTTTTTACGCCTTTATCGACACAATTTGGGTCATTTAGGAGGCGGGTTTTCGACCCTGCAGGGCTAACCTGAGTTGAGAGGGATACAGTATCCCCGCAGAGCAACCGAGATACTCAATAAAGATTTCCCTACTCGGGGAATCGAATTCGCGTCTCTTGCATGCGACAGCGAAGACCCTAACCGCTACACAACAGGCACTGGTAATCAGCTCTCGTTTCCAATGAAATGTAATAATGCGTAGTAAAACTACTTCTCCGATATTTTCCAATAGTAAGTTAATAATATTATTGATGTCCTCGTTTCTCCAGGTTGCCGACCAACCCGCTGTATATGCCAGAGGTGGGGAACGGCCACTTGGCCACTGTCATACAGAGCGACACCCTCTACATGAACGGACTCTACAATGGGAAGAGCATCGCCAGCCACAGGGCCAGAGTTCTATCCTCGGCTGGCTACCTGGTGAAGTCGGTGGCCCCTTCAGGATTGAAGCGGACGTACAGTTTAGACTTGGGCAGAGGTAACATTCATAGTTTGGTGTTTATTATTATTATTATTATTATTATTATTATTATTATTATTATTATTATTATCATTATTATTATTATTATTATTATTATTATTATTATTATTATTATTATTATCATCATCATAATCATCATGGTACCGGTACCTTTATTATTATTATTATTATTATTATTATTATTATTATTATTATTATTATTATTATTATTATTATCATTATTATTTGTATCATTATTATTATTATCATTATTATTATTATCATTATTATTATTATTATTAATATTATTATATTGTTGTTGTTATTATTGTTGTTATTATTATTGTTATTATTGTCATCATTATCATTCTTATATCGTGTGGAGCCGTTTCTTCTTTCTACTAGGTGGGTGGTTGGCGGGTGCTCTGGTGTGGTTTGCATCTTCTTTCCTATCAAACATCTATCGTCTTTATGTCCCCTCCTTCTTTTTTATGTTTGTTACTCTCTTGTAACACCTCTAATCTTCGGCACTTATATGACCTTATTGAGTTGCAAGTGCCGTAAAACTCTTACTAAAACTTTTTTTAAAACTTTCTACTAATCTAGGATGTGATATCCCAAACTGGCCTGGCTGGCCCTAACTGTAAGGGCCGTGATATGTCACCTTCATTACTTGTATTACCTGCCCTGGGCAACAACGTCATTGCACACCAGACAGGTCCATAAGTGCTCAGTTCCTCCCATCACCAAAGCCGCAAGGTATCCATACTGATTGTTCTAGTGGCTATCTGATTATGGCGACGTCTTTCCTTTCCAGATAGCCTTTCCTTTCTTCCTTCTCCCCTCTCCGTCCCCATTTCCTGCATCCTGATGATTGCGTGGTGTTCTGTTGTCTCCCTGTCTTCTTCATCTCGCAATTTTTCCTCCAGGGTCTTCAACACTTCTCCTTTGTCAATTTTTCACCTCACCATCAACCACGGCACTGCCTTCCAGCCTATCAGACTCCTCATTGCCCTTCACTCCAGAGTGCCCAGGACAGAATATCCACGTGATGGCTCTAACTAAGTGATGAGTGTTGTATTGGGTTCATCCATTCACTCCAAAGCAGCCCTTTCTCAACCCTTCGCAGGATGCTCTGGGAGTCTGTGACAATAATGAGATGGGTAGTTTTTGGTCTTGTATTTTGAAGCCAGCCAAGCGCTCTTTTTACGGCCTCAATCTCCATTTTCATGCTTGAAGTTGTTCTTTCTATGGCCCATGATGTCACCTGCAAAATGCCTTAAGTTCTGAGTAATATCGGAGTGATCTTCAAACATAACAACTTTTGCTTCAAACAGAAAACAGATCGCTACTTTTTAAAAGGACACAATTCTGAGTGGAAGACATGATGAAATAACGAAAAAAATCAAACTCCACTGAAAATTGAACCCATATCTTCGACATCATGTTGTTTTACGTAATCAACGGTATAGATTCCATGATAGATTATATTCTCATACGTACTGGTGTATATATACGCATGGGCTATCAAACGATTTCTTTCTTTAAACAGCATGTGACAGTGATAATAATATACACATGCTTCCTAAAAATAAACAATAGTAAGACGAATGAAGGGTATTAAGGATAAAAAAGCTGAAACCACTGTTTGCCATAATGTCTATGAGGTCTTTTTTCGGTTTACTAATACTTTGGTCTGCATCGTTTCTGTCTTTTACCTTTCCTGTTTATTTCTTCTTTGTTCTTGTAACGCATTTTCCACTATGACTTTTCCCGGTTCAGCAAAGCTCTGAAGATTTACGAAAAGAAGACGATCATCTCTCTCTCTCTCTCTCTCTCTCTCTCTCTCTCTCTCTCTCTCTCTCTCTCTCTCTCTCTCTCTCCCTTCTCTCTCCCCCCCTCTCTCTCTCTTTCTATCTCTCTCTTTCTATCTCTCTCTCTCTCTCTCTTCCGTAAATTTGTTTGTCTGTCTGTCTGTCTGTCTCTATTTGTTACCCTCCCCCCCCCTCTCTCTCTCTCTCTCTCTCTCTCTCTCTCTCTCTCTCTCTCTCTCTCTCTCTCTCTCTTATTTTTTCCCAACTCCAGAGAGAATAACGCTAGGTATCACAATAATGCAGCTTTTAAACCATGAATCTTTGAATCCCAGATAGAGGATTCAAAACCGTAAATGGAATGATAAAATACATTAATAAGACATTAGTGAAAACTGTTTCGTTCGTTTATGACGATACACTATTTTGTGTCAGGAAATGGATTTCAGGCACTAATCAATTTTTGAGCATTTGGCGAGTTATTGGTTCATCTTAAAGGTTGCTCATTTGGGATTTCTTTTTTTATTTTGATTTAAAAAATACCCATCTATTTTGAACAGAAATATAGATTTTAGCGATTGATGGAGGTGGGGATACCTTGGGGTGAAAGGTTAATTTGGCGCGAACATGGTCGCTTAATACACTTAGCGTCAATAAAAACCAGACACATTTTAATTGCGTGTTTCATGAAAAGTTGAAAACCCATTGAGCTGAAATTTTCCATACGTGATGGTGAACACTTGACGCTCCTGATCAGCCTGCAATTATGATCAGGTACCCAGTTAATAAAGCTCAGGTCTTGTTTTGTTAAAAACCGTGTTTTGTCATTTTTCTCGAACGTTTTTGGTTGTTTTTTAATTTTATGGCTTTAACACATCTTTTATCTGTAGCCAAGAATAAAACGTTAAAAGTTTCATTTCAAAACATCTAAATCTAAAGATACAGCATGCCGCGTTTAACGAACGAAGAGCGCAATCAGGCAGTTGTTATGCTGCGGGCCAATACGCCAGTAGCGAATGTTGCAAGGACCTTCAATGTGACAAGAGACACGATATATCGACTAATGAATCGTTTGCAGACGTCTGGATCCGTGCAGGATGGTCCTCGGACGGGTCGTCCTAGAGCAACAACACCAGCCCAAGACCGGTACATTCGGGTCTTGCACCTACGAGATCGCTTCCGGCTTGCTACCGAGACAGCCAGGGAGTGGAAGGGACTGAGAACCATAAGTGCGCCGACGCCTTAGACCTCAACCGGTCACCTTGGATCAGCTACGTACAGCACTTACAAACATATGGAACAACATTCCAAAGCATTCCATACAAAGACTTGTGCGAAGCATGCGGCAGAGGTGCACATAAATCGCCAATGCCACGGCGGCTATACGCGGTATTAACTGTGACTTTTCATTTTAGGGCATACAATTAAAAGATCAAATTTCAGGTAATAAAGTTCATTTTTTAAATTTGTTTTTTGTGTAATTGATTTGTAAAATGTTCAAACTTTCCTTATAGAGAGATTGTTTCTTGTAAAAATCAGTCTTTCAATACAAAAAACACTTTAAAAAAGGGGTGTCTGGGTTTTTTTTACGCCAAGTATATTGGTGACTACAAAGCTTGAGTGTCCTTGGAAAGTGCAAATTACTTCATTTGTGTCTTTCATCTACTTATTTTCAGTAAAAACCCAAACAGATATGGGTCCTTAAATTGACATTTAACCCTATCCATATGCCCTGGGGTCATTTTGTACCCCCGGGGTTGTATTCTTCACATTTTAAAATACTCCTAGTACGAAGATCTCTCTGAAACTTTCAGTATTTCTAAAAAAATCACTTTGACAGACTGGTGTGCAAAGCGTACGGATCGGATTAACGAGTAAATTTCCTCTTTGGAAAGTAGTGGCACAGAATTCCCCACGTCGTATGGATACGATAGTAAAACACGACGTACGGATAGGGTTAAGAGGGTGAGAAGAAAAAAAAGAAGAAAAAATCTAGTGGGCGGACATTTTTTTGTCCTTGTCGATTTCATTATTTTTGGCGAGCGCCTGATTTCACCCATAATTTGTCTTCCAGGATTATTTACCGAGTCCTATGAAGGTAGAGGAGTCAGCATTTTATTGAGAACCTACGCCCACCGCATAGTGACCAGAGCGCTGGTGGTCGAACTTGTAATGGTTAGAGATGACGTCTCAAAGGATGTCGCTGTCACTCTGGATTTGAACCAAGAACGCAGGAGCAACGACGTCAGATTGGTCGGTGTGAAGGAAGGGTATGGTTTCATTATTGTATTTCTATTTTTGAAATAAACCACAAAAAAGCTAGAATTATTACTTAAGTTTCATCATCATCATCATCGTCATCATCATCATTACCATCATCATCATCACCATCATCATGATTTTCTACTTCAACTCAATCGGTATAATGTTATTTCAATCTTCATCTTCTTCAACAAACGTGAGGAAAATCAATTTAAAGAAAGCAACTTCAAATTGCATCACAAATTCAAAATGTATAAATCTTTTTGGAAAGTAGCAAAATAACCCTTAAATTACGTAACAAAGATCAAGATGAATAAATCAATTTTTAAAAGCAAATACATAACCATGCATTCGAGTTCAGTTTTTATTAAAATGTTTCCTTTAAAAAAAAAAAAAGAATGGCTAACATACGTGTAATAATCTTTTCCAGAGTAGAGCATTGGCGAACCAAGGAAGCCGAATACCTAGAAATTGCTCCTCTGATACATTTCTTCGTCAAATTATCTCCAACATTGAAGGTAGGTGAACTTACTCCTCTCCATCATCCTTCTCCTCCTCCTCCTCCTCCTCCTCATCATCATCATCATCATCATCACCATCGTCATCATCGTCATCATCATCATTGTTTGGAAAGCAGAGTAAGAGAGAGAGAGTCTTGTTTGAATTTCAGACAAAATAACAATCATCATCATCATCATTATCATCATCATCATCATCATCATCATCATCATCATTATCATCATCATCAACAACAACAACATCAACAACAACAACAACAACAACAACAACAACATTAACATCACCATTCGCACGGTTAACAATATCAACAACCATGGCTACACTGACAATAATAACAACCAAAACAATATCAACGTTATAGCTACAACTCTAACAGCAGCAACAGTTGTTTTCATAGTAGCTGAAACAACAACATAATAAACCACACATGTTCCCTATACACATGTGCTATGTCAGTTTATTTTTTCTTCATGACATGTTGTATTTTTGAGTGTCAGTGTTACCACAAACATGTACATAGTATACATATTATAATCTTAATATACATATTGTAATTTTGCCTTTGTCTGAATTGTGTGTGTGTGTGTGTGTGTGTGTGTGTGTGTGTGTGTGTGTGTGTGG